CTCTGGGGAGCACCCGCCTCGTATTGTGACCTGGCATCCAAAGGGAGGTGACTGGATGTGAAGCCCTTGGTTCATGTTTCCTTCACACTTTTGAAAATAATCTCCTACCATTACCTTGATGTATGTTATTTTGGAGAAAGCTGAGGCCCTTGTACATTGTTTCACCTTTTTGACCTGAAACTCTGGTCATTGTTTCCTTGTGTGTTATTTTGTTTGTTTGTTTTTTGAGATGGAGTCTCACTCTGTTGCCCAGGCTGGAGTGCAGTGGCACCATCTCGGCTCACTGCAAGCTCTGCCTCCCAGGTTCACGCCGTTCTCCTGCCTCAGCTTCCCAAGTAGCTGGGATTACAGGCACCCGCCACCACGCCTGGCTTATTTTTTGTATATTTAGTAGCGATGGGGTTTCACCGTGTTAGCCAGGATGGTCTTGAACTCCTGACCTCATGATCCGCCCGCCTTGGCCTCCCAAACTTCTGGGATTACAGGCGTGAGCCACTGTGCCCGGCCCTTTCCTTGTGTTTTAAGTCTAACACTTCTACTAGGATAAACCGCAGAGTTGATTGTTCCAGGTGAAGTTCCTCCGTGTGTGCGGCTCAGGTCTTCCTTTGCTTTCAGAAAGGCTTGTTGGGTTATAGTTTTAAATATTAGTTCTGTTTCATTTTTTCTTTATCTCCAGCTACATATAAATTGGGTTTTCTTTATCTGTCTTCTATTTCCACTATTTTCTGGTCCATATTGATTTTTTATTTATCTGATTTTCCTTCTTTGAGTTGTTCGTTTTTGCTTTTTTCCAATGACCTTTATTACGTTTTTATCTGAATCTGTTCTCTCTTGGGCATGTTGTAATTATTCCTCATTTTCTATGGTTTTGTAGTTTTCTTGGGTTTATTTTGTAATTTCTGTTCCCTTGCTTTCTTTCTTCCAGATGGTCGGTCCATGTTTCTTCTTAGTTTGTGAATTTCGGATTCATAGTACCTTTTCACACCTTCTTATGCTTGCTTAAAGACATTTAAGTCCGTTTGGAAGATTCTGTTGTGTTTTTTTCACTCATTACTGGCGTCCCAGGGAGATTTTCATCCAGGTGGTTTTCACCTTGTTTTGTTTTACATTTATGAAGACGGTGTCTTTGCATCTCTGTGGGCAGGGCTGGTTGTGGAAAATGGTTGACATCTGGGTCCTGGGTTACGGGCACTGCTCCAGTCAGCATGGTCCTGGCATGGAGTCCTGTGTAAGGGGAAGGGTTTTGTGGCCGTCATTAGCTTTTCACAATTTCCTTTTCCTGGTGGGATCCTAGAGTTTCTCTCTAACATCCCTTCCATTATACCACATGGTTTCCAAAGGGCACTTCCCTTTCCATCCTCTCTCCCCCAGAGTCTTGTCTTGGCAAAGCCACCTTCTTGAGCGCGTGAGTGTGCCCAGTCCCTTCCTGTGGCCAGTGCCCCGATCTATGTACCGTTTTCCAGTATTTTCACCCTCAAGTGGACTTTCTCTCTGGCAGTGATTTTAGATCAGTTCTAGGTTCCCTTTTCTCTTTCACATGCATTCTCTCCAAGCTGCCCTGTCTCTGCCGAGGTCTGCGGCGGGGTCTGGGCCCGACTCACTGGCTGCACCGTCTGTGTGTGCACAGCAGCCGTGTAGGGCTCCTCTCGCAGCTTTGCGGACCGTGTGGCTCCGGGGGCTATTCTCTAGCCTTTTGTTCTCTGTTTCTGTCTCGGAGGACACCTTGGGAGTTTCCCCATCTCGCCAGCACTGTTGGGGCAGCTTCCACTGCCGCGGCTGACACTTGACGTTAGTTTCATTGGCTGTGTTGACGCTTCAGAAAAATCTGGGGAATTCACAGTTTTACAGCACTGAGTCTCTTGAATATTCCCTCACTAACCTTTGTATAGCGCTCAGTGTAGAGGTCTCATGTGCCTTCGTTGGTTTTACTCCTGGGAGTTTGTGTTTTGGATGCTACTGAGAGCCGAGTCGCTTTGCACTTCATGTTCGCGTTAGTGTTGCTGGCGTATGGAAACACAGTCTGTTTTCGTGTCATTGATTTTTTTATCCATTGGCCCTGCTAGACTCATATTAATATTTATGGTTTATAAATTCTTTTGTATTTTCTGCATATATAATATCCACAATTATTGTAATTTTGGTTTTTCCTTTACAATCATAATATTCTAGTTATTAAGTTAGATGGGTACGTTGGTTTTTTGTTTTTTTTTTTTTTTTTTTGAGACGGAGTCTCGCTCTGTCACCCAGGCTGGAGTGCAGTGGCGCAATCTCGGCTCACTGCAAGCTCCGCCTCCCGGGTTCACGCCATTCTCCTGCCTCAGCCTCCCGAGTAGCCGGGACTACAGGCGCCCGCCACTGCGCCTGGCTAATTTTTTTCTATTTTTTAGTAGAGACGGGGTTTCACCATGGTCTCGATCTCCTGACCTTGTGATCTGCCGGCCTCGGCCTCCCAAAGTGCTGGGATTACAGGTGTGAGCCACCGCGCCCGGCCGGTGTTTTTTATGTTCTCATTTAAGCCATTTAAATGCCTGAGATGTTTCTCATAAAGTAAAATTTTAATTGATCAAGAAAGTTTTTGGTGATGATATATTTTTCTGTAAGTCACATTTCTCATAAGAAAGTAAAAACTGCTCCATTCACTTGGAGCTGTCTTCAAATTTGATCCTAAGAATGGTTCTAGGCCGGGCACGGTGGCTCAAGCCTGTAATCCCAGCACTTTGGGAGGCCGAGACGGGCGGATCACGAGGTCAGGAGATCGAGACCATCCTGGCTAACCCGGTGAAACTCTGTCTCTACTAAAAAATACAAAAAAAAAACTAGCCGGGCGAGGTGGCGGCGCCTGTAGTCCCAGCTACTCGGGAGGCTGAGGCAGGAGAATGGCGTAAACCCGGGAGGCTGAGCTTGCAGTGAGCTGAGATCTAGCCACTGCACTTCAGCCTGGGCGACAGAGCGAGACTCCGTCTCAAAAAAAAAAAAAAAGGTTCTGAATGATTTTGTTGTGGACAATGGTAACATTTCTGTTCTTCTAGTAAATGTTAGAGTTGGCCAGACATTTCTCCACGTTCCTCCTTTCCAATGTTTAAAAATATCCCTTAACATTTTCTGTAGTTTAGGAGTGTCTATGAAGGAAGTTTAAATGCTGTCTTCTTGAATTCTGGAGACCTCTGGGAACCCGTGGCAGCTTCACTGTGTCTGTGTCTATCTTGCAATGAAATCTGCAAGGAGAACATAGAGGAGTCAGGCGTAGCTGTGAACCAGCAGTTTTCAGTGAGCCTGGCAAATCTATCATGAATCCCCTGAATGAAGCGGGGAGTTTGCACTCACATGACAATGTAGAAGGCCACTCTTCCCTGCAGCCAAACAGTAACAGTTTCCAAACCAACGCTGACCAAAGACATATTAGTATTTCATCACCTTTCTCCACACACATGCATCCACTGAGCCGCATTTACTTATTCTCAGCACTCTACATACATTGCTGACATTAAACTCTTAATAAAAGGCATGCATTCTGCAAAGTTATGCTTAAAAACTTCAAGGTTTGACCTTGAATGACCACAAGCTCTGCATTTCCAGGGAGTGTTCCTGGCCTCCCGGGACTTGAGTGTTTGTGCTGTCAGCGACGGACGGTCAGACAGTGATTAATGTGGCTGCTGTCCACCACCAGAGACGTCCCAGGCTGGCCCCTCACACTCCCCATAAGCCGTGCTCCTGGTGCCTGATCTCTAGGATTCCAAAATCAAGCTTTAATAGACTTGGAAAACCTGTGTTGTATCTTCTTTGTTACCAAAAAGAAGTAGAAGCTTAACTAAGTAAATTAGTGGATTGTTGAGGTTAAATTTGGCAAATGATCCAGTTCCTTCACTGTCTTACTGTTTATATTTTAACTTTTATTCCTTTGTATCTCAGTATATGCACTAAATATAGCGGATATACTATTGATAATGTAAGAGGAAACATTTAAGCCACAATTTTAAGTTTAATCTGAAATAAAACATTTAAGCCACAATTTTAAGCTTAATCTGAAGTAAAATGCTTAATTTTGTTAACTCTGATAACATTTTTTTCTGTTAAATGAGGAACTTTTAATTGCATAAAACAATAGGAATAGCCACACATTCAGCACCTTGGCCCTTTCTTCCAAATCTACATGGAGGCAGAATTGGCAGCATCTCAATGGTAGAAATGGCTTTATTTCTCCCTGTGATTCAGGGTATTTCTGGTTCAAATCAGATTCTCTATGGTCTATAAATCAGAAATCCACACGAAAGTGAAGTCCATCATAAAATCACAAAGATGCAGCAAAAATGTAAACAATGCACTTATTTGGGAAATATGGAAACCAGCCAGAGAGGAGGGGGTGGCAGCCGGGGTCAGGCTCTCCGCCCCATCCCAGCCATCTCTGCGTTTCTCCTAGAGATACTCATTTATCTCCAGCACACACTCAGTTTTATAAAGCCATTCATAGCAGGAATGAGTGTGCAAACATCCCTGGAACTGGGGGTCACCAGGGCAAGGATCACACCTGTCACCTGTGGGAAGAGAGAGTGGGCAGTTCAGGTTGGAAGAAACCTCTAGGGACAGGTATTGACTGAGCGCTCACTCTCAGATCATCCCACTGATCAAAATTTAGAGAGTATTGCATTGCATTGGATTTCCAACTCGGTTTCAAATCAGTTTTCTTTTTTTTTTTTTTTTTTTTTTTTTGGTTATAAAAGTCAATAAAGAAGGACAAAGCAAACACAAGGTAGCTTTCTAAAATAATAATAATTAAAATAAAAATCTGAATGAAAGTCATTTTTATTGATGTATTACATAGACTACTATATTTTATTAATATTTAACAATCCCCTTCACTTAGTTGCCCACAAGGCACGTAACACTGCATTCCACACAGCATTTATTATTTATTATTTATTTATCAGTATTTATTAGTCTCTGACATTTAGAAGCGCAGTCTGCCACTCATTTCGGCTGAAGCTGTAATCTCGGCCTGGCAGATGGCCACCTTCAGAGTCTGCTGCCTGCCTTCTCTGTGGTCCCCATGTGGACGAAAGGACCCATCAAGGGTGTTACTGGGCCTGGCATTTGGTTGGCGGCCCCGCCAGGCCTGGCATGTCCCTGCATGTGGAGCTGGGTACCCCGGCCCTGCCCAGCATCACGCCGTGTCTTCTTCCCCAGGACGAGCGACGTGGGTGTGCTTTCCCACCGCGAGCACCTGCCGGTCACACAGATCGTCATCACCGACGCGGACCGCCCGGGCTCGGAGGCAGCTTACAAGCTGGGACCACTGCAGTGCCAGGGAGACGGTAGGTAGCGCCCACACCTCTTTCCTGACAGCGCCTGTCCGCGCAAAGACCGCCTCCATGGGGGGGTTGATGGAAAACGAGGAGTTGTGCGCCTTTTTAAAATTAGGGAAGTGGCACATGCCGCGTGGCTGTTACTCAGTGGTTGGTCTAAGGCGTTACCGGGAGAGGCAAGGGGAGCCCTGAGAAGCCTCCCCATCAGCTGGAAACATCCCAGGCATCGGCTGAGGGAGACGCCCCTGCAGGTATGTGCAGCACGCCCTGCAAGAGAAGCTTCCACGGACTCCACGGGCGTCATCTGTCCACGGACCCAGCCTCCTGTCTCCATCGCTTGGTCAGGGAACTGGGGCCTGAAATCAGTCATGCATTCGGCTTCTCACTACCAGGATGGTGGGATCAGAACATTGGCTGGAAACAAGCTAACCAAGTGCGTTTCGCTTTTTCACTTCTTGATTTCTGCAACTCTAGCGCACGCTCTCTCTCTCTCTCTCTCTCTCTCTCTCTCTCTCTCTCTCTCCCCCCTTTGTAACAGTGGCTCCTGTGATTTCATCTTCTCACAATATTTTTAAATGTAATTGCCGCTTTCGTGGTCACTATGCATTTGCAGCAGGAGCTTCCCAGGTGGAGACCAGTCCCCGGTCTCTGTGAGCACCTCCCCACAGTGAGGCAGTGCACGCCCAACCTCACTTCCCTCCGAGACATCTGGTGACTTCAGACGCACCTCAGTGGCTTCACCACCCACATTTTTTTTTTTTTTTTTTACCTTTTTCAGAGATTTTATGTTCCAAGTTCTTAACTGGAACTTAAAAACAGAGCAATTATTTGTTCTAAATTAAAACCTTAGCACACATTTTTGATGTGTTGTAGGATTGTAGAGTTTGGAAGAACAGATGTGATCGATGATCATGCAAGCACCACCATGCACCTGCCCGTCATAGGCGCTCCCTGACGGCTGCTCTCTCCTGCTCTGCGCCCTCAGCCCCTGCCTCTGGCTCCATCCTCGCGCCTCAGTGACCCCTCAGTCTGCCCTGTGTTGATCATAGATTCTTTTCCCCCAAGATTTTCACTAGATTCTCTCTGATTGCCTGGCTCAGAGCAGTCCTCCACTGCTCCAAGCTCAACATGATTCGTGAGAGAACTGGGGTCTCTTCTGTTCACATCTCTGTTAGGTTTTTAGTCTGTGGGTCCTGGCAAGGAGGATGCCTGTGCTGGGTAAGCGCCGCACAGGCTGGAACTGGCCACCAGAAGCAGCCCACGGCCATCAGAACAGGCCCAGATGTCAGCCTGGAAATCAGGCGGGAGCCACACGGGGTTTCGGGCAGTCCCTGAAAGCTGCTTTGTTCGTCATCCGCCGTGCTTTTGCATTTTTATGAATCGCTCTTTGTTTGGTCAGTGTTTCGGGGAGATAAGTTCTGTGAACTGGCTCCATCACGGCACCTTCCTTCCCCAGAGGTGTGTACGCCGCGCCAACCTTTCACAAGTGGGAGAGATACTCTTTATTTTCATGTTCAGTTTGATGATCTAACCTGAAAAGCCATTATAAATCTTTGACATTTGAATTCTGATCATTTTAAATTTAATGTAAACATCGGCCCTGCTGCTACCTGGCATTGGAAAACCTTCTTCTAAGTGTCCTGTGGGAGGAAAAACCATAGCTGAGCTGCTGGAATTGGCTCTTTCATTTCTTCTGCGTGACTGGAGCAGCTGTCTGGGAAATCCTAGCTGCCCAGAGAGCGTGAATATTCAGGGCGTGCAGCCGTGCAGCCCGGAGGAGGCCGCCCCTCAGACAATGTTGTCCTTGATTCTCTCCCCTCGGGCACTGCTGTGCCTAAACCACTTTGAGCGAAGGGGATCAACCCTGCCCTCACAACAGGGTTTTGGGGCTGCACCGGGGCCACCTGCCCAGAGCCAGGAATCCATCCCTGTCTGAAATTCTGAGTCCTTCACTCTGCTTGGAGCTGTTCTCTTTTGGTCACCTGCCTGCCCGCTCCTCTTCTTTCCTCCCTGCCTCCCTCTCTCCATTTGATCCGTGAAGCACAGGAGGGTTTGTTGGGGGGCACATTATAAAACCGAACGAAAGGCATATTCTGAATTCTCTGTGGCTGAAGAAAACAGGAAACGTTGCCAAGTCCTTTAGTGAAACAATGTGTGAGTGGCTCCAGTGATGCAACAGGGAGGCCATGGTGGCACCGCTCTCCTGGGGGCCACAGTGAGGAAGAGAACAGGTGCACCCTGCACCCACAGGAAGGTGCCAGGGACCAGGGAGGAGGGAGGGGCAGGGTCGAGGGGGAGCTCCACAGAAGGCTAAGTCCGGGAGGAGGCCTGGATTGAGGAGGACGGGAGCGTCCAGCATCCAGCACACGAGGAAGAGAGTCCTGCTCAACAGGAACCAAGCATGTGGGGCCTGGCTGAGGGTTGCTGTGACCCAGTCTGAGCCTGAAGCAGCTTCAACAGAGGCCAGGTGGTAAGAATCGAACTGGGGCTGGATCCGAAGATAAAAGCAGAAAGATTGAATGGGCAGTGGATGTGATTTATGAGTCCAGCAGCCTTGAGGGTTGGGTCTGAGTGGCAGAGCCTGGGACCTGTGTGCAGAGCTCAGGTGTGAGCTGCTCCAAAGCCCAAGATGGGCATGGGCAGAGCGGGGGGAGGGGTGTTGGACTCGGGAGGCTGGAGGGGGAGGCAACAGAGGGCAGTGGGTGTCTGGGGAAGGGAAGGACCAAGGGCAGAGCCCTCCAGGGCAGAGGGCAGTGGGCGTGTGGGACGGGCCAGAAGTTCTGAGCAGCGGTGCTTTGAGGAGGACCCCGGCGGGCCTCAGGGCAGGGAGAGAGTGCCCAGTTACACTGGTGCCGCCGGGCCACACTGCAGGACAGAGGTTCCCCCGAACCTGTCAGCAAGGGGCCTGCGGCAGCCCAGGGAGTCCACAGGAACATTGAACAGAGGCCCGGGGCTCCCTCCACGCCACGTCCTGCACCAATCACACGGGAGCACGGACGAAATTTGGGTCCAGAATTGCTTCTTTCCACTCCTTTGTGACCGGCTGAGTCTTGGTGGCTGTGAGAATGAACAGCGGCGGAACAGAGGAAGGAACGGCCCGGTGTGTGCTGCTCTGCTGCAGGTGATGGACGCAGGCCTGTGCCTCCGGAGTCCGTGTTGAGCTGCTGATGTCAGAAGCGCCACCCTCTAACCTGGAGGCAGAGGTGTGCACAGAAGACCCGGCCGTGCGTCTGCTGAGCTGGCTCCTCAGCGCTGCCGTCAGGATGACTTCTGAGAGTGATGACCCCTCCCCGTCGGCCTGAGCGCTGCCGTCAGGGATGACTTCAGAGAGGAATGATCCCTCCCCGTTGACAGTTTCATGCGCACGTGTCTCGGACGAGGGTGGCTTTTCTATGCACATGTTCGTGAATAGCTTTGTTCTCTTTCCAGCTGTTCTACCAACCAAAAACTGTAATTACATCCAGCATATGGCATGATTTTCATTTTGTTTTGCTTTATATTTGATTCCTATCATTTTCCCCAACATTAGGAAACAGCATTACAAATTTCAAAAGAGGAACCATTGAAGTCTAAAATCAAGAGTATCTATGCCCTCAAGAGGGAAATTATAACCACTCCTGGTGTTTTCTTTTTGTTAAAAAGCCAGGCTTACCAGTTCATTTTTGTAAATAATCAGAAAGGCAAATTTGAAAAGAAAAAGTTACTACCTCAGCATTTTTATAATTTCTGTTCCTAGTTTTAAAAAACATATGGTTACATTGTGTGTGTCATTGATCTTGGAAGTAAGCATCCTTGCTTTATAAAACCACCTGCCTTTTAACAAGTTTTCTCTTCCTTTTAAAAAATAATTAATTTATTATTTGGAAGGTTTATTTGTAGATCAAATAGAAATTTAAAAAAGAAAATATTTATGAAATAAACCTTAATCCCATAGGGCTAATAAAACTTATTTTCCTGAATGGGCAATGTCTATCGGAGAAAAACATTCAAGACAAGTCTCTTGTTTCATTTTAACTTTGTGAGTGGAGGTTCACCAAGTTATGTACAATGTGCGCACAACACATCCACCCTTCGTGTAAAAGGTGAACACATCTGTGTGTCATCCACACTACACATGCACAGACGTCATCCACACTGTACGTGCACAGTCCCTGGGTGCCCCGTCTTAGACCCTGTGTCTGCAGAGTTTATTTCCACATCTCCACTATGCAGCTTCCACCCCCTCTCTGCTGTGGAATTCGCACTTGGGTTCTGTAACCCTTTGCATCTCACACATACACACACACACACACACACGTGTGTGTCATTGATCTTGGAAGTAAGCATCCTTGCTTTATAAAACCACCTGCCTTTTAACAAGTTTTCTCTTCTCCTTTTAAAAAAATAATTAATTTATTATTTGGAAGGTTTATTTGTAGATCAAATAGAAATTTAAAAAAGAAAATATTTATGAAATAAACCTTAATCCCATAGGGCTAATAAAACTTATTTTCCTGAATGGGCAATGTCTATCGAGAAAACATTCAAGACAAGTTCTGTTTCATTTTAACTTTGTGAGTGGAGGTTCACCAAGTTATGTACAATGTGCGCACAACACATCCACCCTTCGTGTAAAAGGTGAACACATCTGTGTGTCATCCACACTACACATGCACAGACGTCATCCACACTGCACGCACAGTCCCTGGGTGCCCTGCCTTAGACCCTGTGTCTGCAGAGTTTATTTCCACATCTCCACTATGCAGCTTCCACCCCTCTCTGCTGTGAATCTGCACTCTGGGTTCTGTAACCCTTGCATCTCACATACACACACACACACACAAGTGAATGCAGCTTCCACCCTGCTCTCTGGCTGTGGAAATTGTGTTTGGATTCTGTAACCCTTGCGCATACACACACACACACACACACACGTGAATGCAGCTTCCACTCCTGCTCTCTGCTGTGGAAATTGCGTTTGGATTCTGTAACCCTTGCATCTCTACACATACACACACACACACACACACAGCCAAGTGAATGCAGCTTCCACCCTGCCTCTGCTGTGGAAATTGCGCTTGATTCTGTAACCCCTTGCGTTACACACACACACACACACACACACACACACACACAAGTGAATGCAGCTTCCACCCCGCCTCTGCTGTGAAATTGCGCTTGATTCTGTAACCCTTTGCGTTACACACACACACACACACACACACACACAAGTGAATGCAGCTTCCACCCCCTCTCTGGTATGGAAATTGTGTTTGGGTTCTGTAACCCTTTGCATTACACACACACACACACACACACACACACGAAGACACCTTGGAGCAGGGCTGTCACCAAGTCCCTGCTGTGCGGAGGCTCGTGTGGTTGTGCCGAGCCCTTCCTGGTGGGTGACTCGGGCCCACTGTGCTTCCAGCTGAGCCCTGTATAGCACAAGAGGCCATGGCTCCTGCCAGGAACACCCTGGAGCCACTCCCCAGAGAGCTTTCGGCACCCTCTCCTGCCCTCCTGTGTGCTGGGCAGAGGACCCCAGGGCTCCAGGTGTGTGTGGAGCGGCGTGGGGGCAGCCGCATTTGCTTTTCCGGTTCCCAGCTGACCAACTTCCTGTGAGGTTCAGCCCCTCAGGGAGCCGAAGGTTCAGTCCTGGAGTGGCCCTTGTGTAAACGGGCAGCGTGTGGAGCAGATTCTCATCCACTGGACTAAACGAGCCCCCCGTTCACAAAGCTAAAATGAAATAAGAGACATCCTTTCATGATTTCCTCTTCTTTGGGATTTTAAGGAACCCAGACACTCCTGACAGTGGCCAGGGTGGGAATAGGCCTGATTTTCTGTCTTTCCTGCCATCTTAAATCACGTTTTTTTTTTCCCGCAATTGTTCAACTAAAAGCACTGTGATGATCTCGAGGCATCTCCAGGGACTCGCCTGAGACTACAAATGTGGGGTTTCCTGGCGGGTGCCTGGAATCGCCTTAATTCACATCCCAGCCGGGTGCCAGGCATCACCTTAATTCACATTCACTATGGCCAAGCCCAGGAACAACAGTAACACAGAAGTTAAGAAATGTGCTTGTAGCTTCATTTAACCAGAGAATGCTCCAGAGAAAAATGAAACATCTTCAGACAGAATTCTCAACGGAAACCCAGCAAGCAGGGGCAGTTGGCTGCATGTGAGCTGCCGCAAACCTGAGCACGGACTCCTTAATATGAGTTCCTCCAGGTGAAGCTGAGAGGTGGATGAGCGGAGCATCATCCTCGGCTCCAGATGGGACCGAACGTGGATCCGCACCCGCTCAGCGCAGAGACGACTGGGGTCTCCCTCCCCATGGTAACAGAGGGAACGGATAATGGGATCTGGCTGTTTTTCTGACACCCGTGCATGAACTCATTCTCCAGGAAAAGTAATTTAGGTGTGAGGATGTTATGAAGTCTGGGGAGTGACGAGGAATGGGGTGTTCGCATAACGATGTATGCTTACGATGGATGCCCCAGAACTTTTGAGGCAACACCAGCAGCTTTGGAGTCCAGGACAGCATGGCCAGTACCTGGCTGAGCCTTCAGGGTCATGCACAGCCGCTGGGTCCCACTTCACCACCACGCCGTACCACAGGCCTTCCACGAAAGCCAGCGTCAAGCTAAATCCAGAGAAGCTCACAGCATTGCCTCAGAACGGCAGCTGTGGACAACCAGATAAAATAGAGGGAATGAAAGTCCAGATAAAAACCATGAGTGGACAGTCATTTAAATCTACTACATATGACAGGATTGTATTACATGCCTTTGGAATTCCGTTTCCATTAACATGCTAATCACTCAGGAAGATGCTTTTATCAACTTGAGCACTGTTACAATGTTTTAAGCCATTTATTTTGCATTGATCATAAGTGATATGAAATTACACTAACAGGCCGAGCGCAGTGGTTCACGCCCATAATCCCAGCACTTCGGGAGGCCAAGGTGGGCGGATCACAGGGTCGGAGATCAAGACCATTCTGGCTAACATGGTGAAACCCCGTCTCTACTAAAAATACAAAAAAATTAGCTGGACGTGGTGGCAGGCACCTGTAGTCCCAGCTGTTGGGGAGGCTGAGGCAGAAGAATGTTGTGAACATGGGAGGCAGAGCTTGCCATGAGCTGAGATCGCACCACTGCACCCCAACCTGGGAGACAGAGCAAGACTCCGTCTCAAAAAATAATAATAATAATAAAATAAAATAAATTACACTAACAGAAACCAGTATAAGAAAAGTGGTTATTTTCCAATCCAGTTTTCTGAGGAGCCGTGGAGATCGTTGGATGAAAAGCGTGTGTTGTGAGACACGGTCGTAGCATGAGGCGAGGGTTCCGCTGATCAATCTTCTCATTGGAGGAGGATTTACCACCCAGGCCTGGATGAGAGCCGGGGCTCCTGCCACGTGAAGGTGGCCCTGACTGGGTGTGAAGAAGTTTCCGACGCCTGGGTGGGAAGGTGAGCGTGGCCAGCTCGGGGGGTTTCTGCAGGATATTTTCTTTAACTTAAATTTACAAAGGTGCTTAACATATCAAATGATGAACAAACCAATGTTTTGATAATAAAAGTATGGTGGAACATTATCGAAGTGATTTGTCTGGGTAAGGCATTCAGAGTGAAGACACTTCTTATATCGAAGGTGAATTCCTTCCTGTGCCGGCCCCGCACCTCCCGGATCTCATCAACCGCCGACTCTGCGCGCAGACCTCATGTTCAGGAAAACGTCACAAAGAACACAAACGCTGCCTTCTTAGGCTGTGGCTGCACTCAGCAGCGAACGTTTGACACGCCTCATGGGTTTGCTGCCTTCTCCCCCTTCTCCCGTCAGGGTCCTTCTGGAACTCGGCGTCTTTCCACACGGAGGCCTCCTACCTGCATTTCCCCACCTTCCATGGAGAGCTCAGCGCTGACGTGTCATTCTTTTTCAAGACGACGGCTTCCTCTGGGGTGTTTCTGGAAAACTTGGGGATCACGGACTTCATCAGCCTGGAGTTGCGTTGTGAGTGTCTGGGAAGCTCTGCGGGGCACTTGTTACTTTGCTGTAAGCTCTTGGGCGGTTTTGTGTGTGAAGCACCCCCTGCCCCTGTCATCAGCTCCACCCCGACTGGTTCATTTCCAGCCCTCAGGTCTGTGAGTTCCACTCACCGCTGGTCAAAGAGACCGGCCATGTGCCGCGGCAGCACAGCTGGCAGCCCGTGGGCAGGACCTGTCTGCATTCAGCTGGGTACAAACAGGGCGTTGGGTTCCACCAGGGCGTCCACAGGGTGTTCCTGAATTCCCAGTCCCTTCGTGGCACAGACCTGCCATGTTACGACCAATGCCCCCAACCTGCTCATCAAACTGTGTGAGGTTCAGGACGAAATTCTCCACAGACCGAGGTGGTTTAGAGTTTCTCTGCCATAGGTCATTACCTTTCCAGTTCCTTACTTAGTAAACTGAACTGTACATTCTGAGCTTATTTATTTTCCCGTATACATAAGTTAACTTTGCCTTTTCACCCGACTTCAAAAGTCGATTCCCCGCCTGAGGGCCCCACGCCCTTGCCACCGGGGAGCCCTCCCCATGGTCCAAGCTCAGGCCCCTCCTCGGCTGTCGCTGACACCGCTTCCCTGTGGAATGTTTCCAGCCCCCGCAGAAGTGGCCTTTTTGTTCGACGTGGGAAACGGGCCCTGCGAGCTCACGGTGCAGTCGCCCACTCCCCTCAGTGACAACCGGTGGCACCTGGTCCGAGCCGAGAGGAACGTGAAGGAGGCATTGCTGCAGGTGGACCTGCTGCCCCCCAGCACCCTCCAGGCCCCCGAGGATGGGCACAGGCTCTTGCAGCTCAACAGCCAGCTCTTCGTGGGTGAGTGCGAGCCGCGCTGCTGGCTTCCCAGTCCAGCGGGTGCTGTAGAGACGGCTGGAGAGGAAGCAGAGAGCAGACGGGGTTGGGTGACAGCTGAGGCACCACTCAGGGCCGCGTCCTCACACCCGGCCGGGTGTTCCGTGGTGAGCTCATCCCCAGGGCCGCGTCCCCACTTCCGGCCGGGTGCTCGGTGGTGAGCTCATCCCCCGGGCCGCGTCCCCACTTCCGGCCGGGTGCTCGGTGGTGAGCTTATACCCCGGGCTGCATCGCCACTTCCGGCCGGGTGCTCGGCGGTGAGCTCATCCCCCAGGCCGCGTCCCCACTTCCGGCCGGCTGCTTGGCGGTGAGCTCATCCAGGACCGGGTCCCCACTTCCGGCCGGGTGCTCGGTGGTGAGCTTATACCCCGGGCTGCGTCCTCACACCCGGCCGGGTGCTCCGCAGTGAACTCATCCCCCGAGCCGCGTCCCCACTTCCGGCCGGGTGCTTGGCGCTGAGCTCATCCCCAGGGCCGCGTCCCCACTTCCGGCCGGGTGCTTGGCGGTGAGCTCATCCCCCAGGCCGCGTCCCCACTTCCGGCCGGGTGCTTGGCGCTGAGCTCATCCAGGACCGGCTCCGGGGCACTCTGCTCCGGCTGCGTCCTGCCCAGTGAATGGTGTGGCAGCCATTACCAACCACTGGTGTCTACCTGAAGGTGGACGCCCGCCCGGAAGCTGCAGCAGGTGCTCCCCTGGGTGCCCCAATACTGGGGCCAGAAGGAAACCAGGAGGGAGGTGGCCACGGCCCATTCACCTTCCTCCTGGTCCCCCCGCTCCTTCCCTACCCCGTCGCTTGCTCACATTTCCAGGCAAGCCAGACCCTCAGCAGCCATTTGCTGTGACTGCCCTGCAGCCTGGAGTGGGCCCTGGCTCCTGCCCTGGCTTACTGGTTGGTTTCGGGGCCTCCTACTCTGGTTTAAGGGTTGGTTTTGGGGTCTCCCGCCCTGGTTTACTGGTTGGTTTTGGGGCCTCCTGCCCTGACTTATTGGTTGGTTTTGGCTTTGTGTTGTGTTGTCCACAAATGATTTTATTCTCATTTGGCTTCAAGAAGACAGAAGGATTACCCCCTCTATGACTACTCCTCCGCATTTTCAAAAGAATAAAAAAGCTATTTATCAGGAACTCCAATCAATGAAAAATAATCACGGACTCTTGCTGGAATCTCAGTGAGGCGGATGTTTGAACTTTTAGGATCCCCACACATTTCTGTGCTTAAGCAATCATCTCTTACAAGCTTTCGCTAGTCAAAAAAAAAAAAAAAATGAAGCTTATTGTTAATTTTACAAACGTTTAATTTTAGTATTTTCTGTGTATTTTTTTTACTTTTTTGAACTATTTTAGTCTATTAAAGAGATACTTAGGGAAGTTTTTATGCCCAAGGTACTATGCCGAATGCCCTAATTGAGATCGTATGGCCACATTTGAATAATGTGTGTAATATATAGTTGTATAAGTTATGAGTACCTATAAATAAAATAACACAATTTCTACAATACTATGCAGAAAATTCATAGGGTGACTCTGCCGCTGGGACCCTGTGTTCTGAGGAGGAAAAGTCTTTCAACCCCACTTAGCTGTCTCGGGTTTTTTTTTTTTTTTCTTTTTTTTTTTTTTGAAATGGAATCTCCCTCTGTCGCCCGGGCTGGAGTGCAGTGGTGCGATCTCTGCTCACTGCAAGCTCCACCTCTCGGGTTTATGCCATTCTCCTGCCTCAGCCTCCCGAGTAGCTGGGACCACAGGCACCTGCCATCACACCCGGCTAATTTTTTGTATTTTTTAGTAGAGACAGGGTTTCACCGTGTTAGCCAGGATGGTCTCGATCTCCTGACCTCATGATCTGCCCGCCTCGGCCAAGTGCAGGGACTACAAGCGTGAGCCACCGCGCCCGGCCAGCTGTCTTGGTTTTTATATTTGGTGAGTTCGTGGTAAATTCCTGAATCATGGACATCTGCCTTAACGTGAAATCTCAGACTGGGTCTCACATCAACATCTCCTCTCCTGAGCCTGGCACCACAATTAAAACCATAGAAGTGGCCTTTCTACTTTGAAAAATGGAGCAGACAGGAACTGTCCTCAAACTTCAAGTGCAGTCTGCTCTGGGCTGTGGCCGCCCACGTCAGGTCCCAGGAGCTGCACCTGCTTCCACCATGCCCGTTGTCCACAGCTTTCCCAGGGCTGAGTTCAGGAGAGATTTGCTGCAAGCAGGGAAGCCCCTGCACAGCCAGTGCCTGTGAGGGCAGAGACTGGCCACATCTGCCAGTCCCTGATGTTTTAAAACACCCTCCCAATGAGTCAAGTCTTTCAATTTCTGAATTCCCAAACGTAATCAAACCCAAGACATTTTCAGGGAGCTCTGGGGATGGAGCACTTTGCTGTGTCCAGGTACAGGGCTCCTCTCTGTGATTTGCTTCCAGGGCACTTCGGTTGTAGTTACGAACATGCACCATGCCCACACATGGAAGTATATACACACATTCACACACACAGGCACACACGCACACACACACACGCACGCACACATGGAAGTATATACACACATTCACACAGGCACACGCACACAGGCACACACATGGAAGTATATACACACACAGGCACGTGCACACGGAAGTATATACACACATTCACACACGCACACACACACGCACGCACACATGGAAGTATATACACACACAGAGCACGTGCACAAAGTGTACACACATTCACACACACGCACACACACACACACATGAGTATATTACACATCTTTACAGCTGCATGCCACACAGAGCTACCTGCCGGGAGTATATCACATACACAGTGTACCACAGAAGTACATACACACATTCACACACAGGCACACACACACATTGGCTCAGGCACACACGTTTGAAATACACGCAGTCACGTATCTCTCACTCACACCCCACAAGCACTCACACACACATACATACACACAGCACACAGTATATGCATTTGGGAGACATTTGTATGGAATCCATAATTGGCGTCTTGTGTTTGTGGCTCAGTTCTTAATGCAAATAAAATTGTAATTATTATTTATAGGAAATTAAGTAGGCTTCTTTACCACACATGGAAGTATATACACACACAGGCACGTGCACACGGAAGTATATACACACATTCACACACACGCACACACACACGCACACATGGAAGTATATACACACATTCACACAGGCACACACGTGCACACAGGCACACACACGGAAGTATATACACATACACACAGGCACGTGCACACGGAAGTACATACACACATTCACACACAGGCACACACACATTGACACACAGGCACACACACATTCACAAATACACACAGTCACATGCTCTCTCACTCACACCCACAAGCACTCTCACACACACACATGCACACATACACACACGCACACACAGTATATGCATTTTGGGAGACATTTGTATGGAATCCCTTAATTTAATCTTATGTTTGTGGCTCAGTTCTTTAATGCAAATAAAATTGCAGGTATTATTTATAGGAAATTAAGTGAGCACAACACACATTTTTGAAAGGATTGCTTTTCTCAAAATGTCATTTATTTCTCAATTATAATTATATAATCTTATATAAGATGAGAGAAATTTGGGTTTGATTTCAGTAACTCAATATTTTACCTACTTTGATGAGAAAAAATAAAAGGTTGCCTCAATGCAAACAAAATGCCACAGTTTCCAGATAAACCTAGCAGAGCAATTTGGTTTCTGGTTCAGTGATTCACCAAACACTGTCTTCCAAACAGGTCCCACCTTGTCTTGACTGTATTGCTCGTTTGCACTTTTGTCTATCTTCAGGGAAATTTACAATGTCTTTATTATATTCTTGATAATGAGAACAAGATGGCTGAGAGGTGGGCTTCTGAGGACCGCTGGTCGGCTGCCTCCCATCTCATTCCCCAGGGTATAGGCAGCACCTGCCTCTCTTCCCATCCAAAGGAGTGTCCAGGGCCCTCCCTGGGCCACCCAGCCCACCTTTCTGGGGTCAGCTCACCCTGGGCTCACCCAGCATTTGAGACAGCTGCTATCAGCTTCAGCCGTGAAGACTGCGGCAGCCCCTCTGACGGCCAGCCCTGACTTCGGAGGCAGAATCTGGTCTAGAGTGAGATGTCTGTAGCATCAATGCTCAGAGAAATTCAAATTGTCCTTATTTGCAAGGGCGAAAGTCACAGCTCACAGTGCCTTGTGCCTCAGATACCAATTCCTCGGGAACGTTATCTGCTTGCACTGAGCTGTCCTCTGTAGCTGGGACACACGCAGGCGTCACGAAGACTGTGCTGTGTTTTCAGAGTTGCTGTTGCTTTATTTTGTAATAATAGCATTTATTCGCAGACTACACAGAAGAAACATCTTTAAAAACATAAGACAACACTGAAAAAAATAGAAAGTTAACTGTTTTCTCGTGTAGCATAAAAATATGAAACGGAGGAAGTTTCACCCTCGTGTGGGATAGAAGTCACGAGATGTTACCTCTAAGAGTTTCATCAAAAAAACCACTAGTTGTCTTATTTAGATAAGCGCTATTTTTATTTAAATTACATTCTCAATTTCACTGGGCTGTGTAAGGTATCCAGGCCCCCGTGATAGCGTGGCACTGCTGCGTTTGAGGAGATTCAGACCTTTCTGGGCACCACAGTGGGCTAAGGACCTGCCGCCTTCTGGCTGGAAGCAGAGACCCACAGCAGCTGAAGGATGTGGGCCCAGCAGAGCAGCATCTCATAGATGGTGCTGGCTGGAACAGGGTCTCTAACAGGATACAAATTCAAGAGGTTTCTGGGGCTGGACACAGTAACTGAAGCCCATAGTTAACAAATTCTAGAAAGCCGTCTTCTGTGCCATCAAATGCCAGTGAGGAAGAATATTATATATGTGAAAAACAACGTCATTTTTAAGAAGTCAGATGCCCGTTGTCTCTACAAGAGAGGCTTGAATGTGGTGGACGCCGCATAATTAAA